TTTAATCTCAGAATTTTGACTTTAATCTCAGAATTATGACTTTAATCTCAGAATTCTGACTTTAATCTCAGAATTATGACTTTAATCTCAGAATTATGACTTTAATCTCAGAATTCTGACTTTAATCTCAGAATTCTGACTTTAATCTCAGAATTCTGACTTTAATCTCAGAATTCTGACTTTAATCTCAGAATTCTATGTCAGAATTCTGAGAAAAAAGTCAGAATTCCTTTTTTTATTTTTCAGTGGCGCTAATCCTCTTCCGTAAGAACCTGACTAAAATATTTTGAACTTTTCGAAGCATTTTGTCATTATTTATTAGTTTTGAGTGAACGGGTTTGTAGAAATTTGAAAAGTTAAAAACACTCCAGGTCTTACTTTTTTCCTTGTTGACATATTAGACCAGAAAGATGTCTCTAATTTCATAATTCTCTCTAAGTGAAATTAGTCATTAAAAACTGCTGTTATAGTTAAATAAAAAATAAGATTAAGATTAAAATCTTAGTCTTATTTTAGCTTTAGGTAAAAAATATAAACTGTGATTCTGTTTGTCAATAAATATTTTAAGCCTTTAATAAATTTTTCCTGTATTTTAAAACTTTTGACTAGGCTGCTGTTTGTTATTTTCCCTCTGTTCTCTAAAAACAGTTGGTCTAATTTGATGTTGTCAAAAATGGGCTCGTCCGGGATTTGAACCCGGGACCTCTCGCACCCAAAGCGAGAATCATACCCCTAGACCAACGAGCCGCTGCAGAACGGAAAGATGTGTCTTCTGTTATCGGTTATAGAGTCGTTCATGGTTATTTATGGTTTTTTGATTAATTGATTGAATGTTAGCAGTTTAACACAGACATCTCTTCCCAGGGAGCAGTGAGTGCAGCTGCTCTTCGTTTTAGAGCTAGGTTTCGATAGCAGACAAGTTCAAACTGCGCATGCGCGAAGTACAATATTTATTAGCTTGGTAAATTAAAATTTTTTTATTCAAAATTAGTAAAAGCAATAATCATTACAACAATGAAAATGGAATACAAAGTGTATTTTATAAAAGTAAAATTCTTCCTCCGCCGACGAGATGAATCGTCACGCGCCAGGCGGAAGTTGATTTGATTGCGGAAGTGAGCGGATGTTGTTGTGTTTGTAGCTTTAGCGATCTTCCTTTAAGACTCTGTTCATCAATGGGCTGCGCGTTTTAACGTATGTAGGCTTTTGGGGGGAGCTTCATTTTCTCAACTTGACCAGGTAAGAGTGATAAAAATATCAATGTTGTGGTTAACCTTTAGCCGAGTTACCGTTGTGCTAAGTTAGCCACGGCTAACTGCCCAATGTCGATCAGAAACATGGAACTCTTCAGGAAAACAGAGCTCGTGAAGCGTTAAAACTTTATCATATAAAACATGTCGGTTAGGTAGCAGGTTCATAAAGGAGGTGAATAAACAACAGTCAGGTAAAAATAAACCTTTTCGTTTTGTGTTTGGAGTTGGGATAACAAATCACTAAACTTGTGTTGAGATGACACTGACTGGTTTTGATGCTAACTTAAACTTCTGAGAAGATTTGAGATATAAAAAGTACAGAAACCTCTGAAATAGTTTGATTTTAAACTACATTATGTGGGTGATCCTTTTATGCGGCAACATTTTGGCGTCAGGACTTTAAAAAAAGAGTAATGTTTTAAGTTTTAAGTGTTTTGTTACATCACTGACATGTTTAACAATAATAAATGAGTAATGGTCAAAGCTCAGGGCTGGATAAAGTAATAATTGCAGGTATTTATTTTTCACCATTGTCTCTAAATTTGTTCCACCCTGTTAGGAACATTTACATATAGACCACACATTTGTAAATATTAATAAATAATAACCTTTTCTTAAAAAGAATATGTCCCTTTTACTATATACCGGTATGTTTTATTCTTAAAATTGTAACATATCATGTAGTTACGAATCATTTATGTCAGTGTTAGAGCTAAACATACGATTATTTTTATAGTCGATTAATCATCGATTATTTATTCGATTAGTCGACTAATCAGATCATACGTTAATTGAATATAAAACGTAGTTTATCGCACCAGAATGCAGCTGTTATTATATAACCATCGTTAGATTTTAGCTATATGCTAACTAAAAATAATATCTGTGGAAGGTAAATTCTGCTCTGCAGATATTATACAGGTTTCTCTTTCATTTTCTTHAAATGATCCCACACTTTGAGCTTCATTGCTGCGTAGCCATTACCACTACTGCGCATGTGTGTCAACGACAGAAAGGCAGATGTGGCAGTGGAAGGTGTCAAAGCAGTTTGGAGAGAAAAACAAAGTAAAGAACAAAAAAAATGATTAATCGATTATTAAATTAGTCATAGATTATTTTAATAATTGATTAGTCGTCGATTATTCGACTAATCGTGGCAGCCCTAGTCAGTATTGTAAAAAAAAAAATTTTTTTTTACACATTATAACTGACAGCATATAAAATACTGGTGATTTCAAAAACTTTTACATATATGTGCATTTAATTGTCTTCAGTTCCCATCATGGCACAGACAGATTCACTGTACTTAATGTTTCTGCGATAATTTTTAATAAAAACACATTTTCAAACAGGGTGGAATGGAACATAACAGGTTGGAAAATCAATGTTTACGATTTTAAAATATGGTGATTTTTACAAAAACCTTTAACCACATCCAGCAGGATTAACTGTGGATGTAAGAGGAAGCTGTCTAAAACCAGGTGTTTTGATTACTTTTACCTATGATAACTTTTCAGCCTAATTTCCACCCTGTTGTGTCCTCGTTCCACACTGTTTGGTTCATAATCCTAACAGGGTGGAATTTTTTAGCTAATCTAGTTGTAGCTCTTTATGTGCTCAACATTTAGTTAGCTAACCTTTAACAGAATATCAAACCTTTAATGAATAAATCTAATATGTTGTTTTTTTAATTCTACTGAATAAACATTTCCCACAATTTATCTCAACAGGGTGGAACTTTAAGGTTGACTCATTCAGGTTTAATATATTTAAGATAAAAAAAGTAAGGAGAGAGTGACAGATGAAACTTATCTTGTTTTTAACGGATGAATTCCCTCAAAAACCAGTTGATGTCACTTGTTGTAAATGGTTTTTATGGAGTTGTAGTGTTTTTGAGGACAAAAAGGAAACATTCTAACAGGGTGGAAAGTTACTACTGGGACATGTATCATGTGAAGAAAATATCAAATAAAAATAGTTTCAACAGTTTCAGTTTCATAATAAAATAAGGTTTAGTCCAGTCTATCAAAGTATTGAAGAAACTTTTTTTAATTAAATTTTTTGTTTAAACTTCTTGAGGAAATCTAGTACACTGCACAATGAAAAGAAATCAACCATGTGTGTCACCAAAAAGGTGTGTAAAGTACAAAATAATATTTTTAATGCATTTAATTTATATTTGAATGATGGCAAACATCTAAATGTATAATTAAAATACTTTATTGTAAATATTTGGCACATTTTAGGACAAATCAGGGTGAGAGAAACATGCAGACATGAGATGTTGCCCCAAAAAAAAGAATCACCCTTAAAACAACTCCTGTTTATTAATAAACTACATGTGGAGGAAGAAGTGCCGACCTTTAAAATCAACGTTATTAGAGACTGAAATCAGCTGACCTGCAACACAAATGATCAATAAATGTTATTAAATCAGCAGGAAAGAGTTGTTCTGTGAGAATACAGAGTCCACACTGACAGCCGAACGACTGCTGAAACTGAGGGGAGCAGAACAGGAGCTAAAAGTTGACAAACACAACTATAACAAGCAAGATGCAAGGTAAAAGCTATAATTAGCAATGCAATAGCTAAAGCCTAAAGGTAGCAAAATCATAGCTAAATTTAACAAAACACTGACTTAAACCTAAAACTATCTAGCTAGAAGCTAAAAGTATCTAACCTGACTAGAAGCTAAAATCAAAAGTTTAAAATATTTAGCTAGAAGCTAAATGGGTAGAAATTAAAAGCAGCGAGCAAAAAGTTAAAAGTATCTAGCTTTAAAAAAATTATCTAGATAGGAGCTAAAAACATCTAACTGAAAGGTAAAGGTATCTAGCTAGAAGATGAAAGTATTTATCTAGAAGCTAAAATTAGCTAAAAATTAGCTACTAATTTCAGCTAGTAGCTAGCTGGAAGCTAAAGGTATCTAGCTTGAAAAAATAATCTAGATAGAAGCTAAAAATATTTAACTGTAAGCTAAAGGTATCTAGCTAGAATTTGAAAGTATTTAAATAGAAGCTAAAAGAAGCTAAATATTAAAAGTAGCTAGCTGGACACTAAAGTTATCTAACTAGAAATTGAAAGTATTTAGCTAGAAGCTAAAAGTAGCTATAAATTAAAAGTAACCAGCTGGAATTTGATAGTATTTATCTAGAAGCTAAAAGTAGCTAAAAATTAGCTACTAATTTCAACTAGTAGCTAGCTGGAAGCTAAAGGTATCTAGCCAAATGTGTCTACATAAAATCTAAAAGTCCCTGACTAGAAGCTAAAATCAAAAGCTGAAAGTATTTAGCTAGAAGCTAAACAGATAGAAATTAAAAGTAGCGAGCTAGAAGCTAAAGGTATCTAGCTGGATGCTAACAGTATCTACCTAGAAGGTAGCTAGAAGCCGAAAGCATCAAACTAAAAGCAAAGGAAAACTAGCCAACAGCTAAAAGTAGCATAGAAAGGTAAACCAGAGCCAGTAGCTGAAGCAGATTTCAAGAGAAAAAATGTTTTTGAAGGAATTAAGTATTAATAAATGTATTTTTGTGTTTCATATTTTTTTGTTAATCTATAAATTTTAATATTTTGAAAACTGAAAGGTAAAAAAACAAAATGTCACAGCAGCTACCTCCTGAATGAGCTGAATATTTGAATATTTGAACAGCTAAAATAGCTGAATTGGTTAGATTGCAGAAAACATCTTAACAATAAATAAAACGCCATGGAAACAGGAGTGTTGGTTGTTTTATTTGTGGTTTATATTTTATTTCTCCCTCTTGGTTTATTATTAATTCAAAGTCTCACACAGTCTGCAGAGATTCTAGAGGCTGAAACACTTGATGTGTCTTTAAAAAAACAAGAAATGCTTTAAATGTCGCAGTGGCTGGAATCTCCTCCAGTCCTGTTTGACCGCCACGCCCTGTGGACTGAAGTGTCCTTCAGCTGAGGACGCCTGACCGCGAGTCATCAGGCTGACGAAACGTCTTCACATCGTCTCAGGTGGCCTTAGCTCCGCTCTGAGCGTGAAGCTCGACTAAATACGGGGTTTTTCTGACTTTGGTGAAACCTGTTTTGATCCATATTAATATTTGTTGTTTATAAAACACATCAAAACAATAATAATCTGATTTTCACACTGTTTAGCTTTGATACACAAACAAGTATGAATGTGACGTTCTTGGAGTTTTTTATGAGGTAATACTTTGCAGTAAAGATTCCAGTGTTTTGTGTTTGTGTTTGTGTTTGTGTTTGTCAGTGAGTCAGGATGACGAAGTGCTAAAAACAAATGACTCTTGTTGGAAAAAAAAAACCTTAAAGATAAAATCAGATCATAAGTTTTAAACAAAGCTTTAGTTAAAAATTCTTGCAAGAAAAGAGGACTGTCTGTACATCAGAGACAGTATTGTATCAGTACAAGTACATAACAAAACGACAGAATTTAATTAAAAAATGCTCGAAAGTATTTGTGAACTTTGAGTCTTTTAGTAAAGAGCCGTGCAAAAAAATTATTGTCAGAAAAACAGTCAGATTACTATTTGTCACTTCGTCATGACTGCTATTAGTGACTTATTTAAATCATAGCAGTGCAGAGAGCTAATGCTAATACTAACATGAAGCTAATGCTAAGCTAACACTCCATATTTCCAGGCACCATCTAGGGTTGAGGGAAATCATGTATGTCATAAGTCATCAGAAAAACTGTAACAGATTAATATGCTACAATGACTGATTTAGGTCCTTGCATCATGGAGTTGAGGCTAAAGTTAGCACGGAGCTAATGCTAAGCTAACACTAACATCTCATATTTGTATGTATCAGCTACGGCTGGGCAAAATCATATTGTGTGCCAAAAGAATTGTCACAGTTATTATTTGGCACTTTTCAAATGCTACAATTACAGATTTATTTGTTAGTGCATCATGGAGCTAAGGCTAAAGCTAACACGGAGCTAACACAGAGCTAATGCTAAGCTAACACTAACACTTCATATTTCTAGGTTTCAGCTAGGGCTGGGCAAAATCATATTGTGTTCCAAAAGAATTGTCATGATTAATATTTGGCATTTAGTCATAACTGTGATTTGTGACATATATAAGTCATTGCTGCATTGAGCTAAGGCTAATATGGAGTTAATACAGAGCTAATGCTAAGCTAATATTTCGTAATTCCAGGTACGAGCTAGGGTTGAGCAAAATCATGTTGTGTGTAAACAGATCATCAGAAAAACTGTCACAGATTAATATTTGGCATTTTGCGAATGCTACAATTACTGATTTATCTAGGTCATTGCATCATGGAGCTAAGGCTAAAGCTAACACGGAGCTAATGCTAACACTAACACTTCATATTTCTAAGAATCAGCTAGGGCTGGGCAAAATCATATTGTGTTCCAAAAGATTTGTCACGATTAATATTTGGCATTTAGTCATGACTGTGATTTGTGACATATATAAGTCATTGCTGCATTGTGCTAAGGCTAATGTTAATGTGTAGCTAATACAGAGCTAATGCTAAGCTAAAATTTCATAATTCCAGGTACCAGCTAGAGTTGGGAAAATTCATATTGCGTAAAATTTATAGTCAGAAAAAATATCACTGATTTTAATATTTGGTGCTTTTCAAATGCTGCAATTACAGATTTATCTAGGTTAGTGCGTCATGGAGCCAAGGCTAAAGCTAACATGGAGCTAATGCAGAGCTAATGCTAAGCTTATAATCCATAATCCATGGAACCAGCTAGGGTTGAGCAAAATCATATTGTGTGTAAACAAATCACCAGAAAAACTGTCCCTGATTAAAATTAGGCATTTTGCAAATGCTGCAATTGCTAATTTCTGTAAGTGTGTCATGGAGCTACGGCTAAAGCTAACACAGAGCTAATGCTAAGCTAACATTAACCTCACATTATATCTTGATAAATCTTTTCACCCATATTGCTCGACCTTATTTCAGTATAAATCATTTAAACCCGTGTTATCTCGTTAACCATTTTGCCCGTTTTCTTCCAGTCCGTCAGGTTGATCCGCTGCGATGGCCGATCACGCCGACGTCAGCCTGCCCCCAGAGGAGCGGGTCCGCGCTCTGACCAAGAAGGGCAGCTCGGTGGAGGTGAACGACGACGTGCCGCCGCGGCGCTACTTCCGCTCGGGCATGGAGATGATCCGCATGGCGAACATCTACACGGAGGAGGGCAACATCGAGCACGCCTTCGTTCTTTACAACAAATACATCACGTCAGTTTTCTGCGCTCACTTTGAATGTTTCAAAACCCATGAAATATTAAAGTTATTTTTATTTCTTTAAGGCTCTTTATTGAAAAACTTCCAAAGCATCGGGACTACAAGACTGCAAACATTCCTGAGAAGAAGGACACAATAAAGGTGCACAACAGCGTTTTTTATTTCTTTAATAAAGCTTTACATCAACGCCTAAACTCAGTCTGACTCCTCCACAGAAACTCAAAGATGTTGCATTTCCTCAAGCAGAGATTCTCAAAAAAGCTCTTTTGAAGAGATTTGAACAGGAATACGCAGACTATCTCGTCAAAAAGGTAAATGAAAATTTAAATTGTTTACGTAAAAATCCTAAAAAACGTTACGAGTAAAGAGTTGTTCTTGTGTGGGTGCTCAGAAAGTGGAGGAGGAGGCCTCGGCGCTGGAGCGGTCCAGGCGCCGCGCTCTGGACGCGGAGCGGGAGCGCGTGGCGGAGATGCAGCGGCGGCAGCGGGAGCAGGAGCAGTTCAGTGCCTTCGAGGAGATGATCCGCCGCCAGGAGCTGGAGAAGGAGAGGCAGCGGGTTCTCCTGGAGTTCGCCACGCCCTCCGCCCCCGCCCCGGACACGCCCCTCCTCCCGGGCATCCAGGGCCCGCCGCTGGTGTCCCCCTCCCCGCCGCAGAGCCCGGGGGACGTGTCCGGCAGCAACAACCACCAGCAGTCTCGGCCCTCTGGGAACACCGCCCCCCCGACTTTTGACCGCTCGCTCAAACCGGGCTCTCTGGTCAGCCCCGGGAACAACAGTGAGTTTGCTTTAAAGGCTTCCTACACAAAGCTAAAACCAGCTAAAAGCTAAAATAAGCTGCTCAAATATACGAACTTTACGAACAGAAATCTGAGAAAGATTGTGTGGAGCCCGTACTTAACTTCCTGTTTCAGATTCAGCCATGTCTCGGCGCTCTGGTTCATTTCTTCGTGTTTTTCTGCAGATTCGATGGTGGACGCCCTGCGGCAGCTGGCTGTTCCTGTCGAGCTGTGCCGAAGCTTTCTGCGGCTGGCCGAGGCCAACACCAGCAGAGCCATAGAAACCTGCGGCATCCTATGTGGAAAGCTGGTAAGACCCTGACATATTTTAAATTATGACACAACAGCCTGTCATACATTGTTTATTATATGATACAATGGCCTGCCATACTTCAACAATTACTGGATACAACGGTCTGCTATACTTGAACAATTATATGATACAACGGTCTGCTATACTTGAACAATTATATGATAGAACGGCCTGCCATACTTCAATAATTTTATGATACAGCGGCCTGCCATACTTCAACAATTACTGGATACAACAGCCTGCTATACTTGAATAATTATATGATACAAAGGCCTGCCATACTTGAACAACTGCCAGATACAACAGCCTGCCATACTTCAACAAGTATTGGATACAACAGCCTGCAATACTTCAGTAATTATATGATACAACAGCCTGCCGTACTTGAAAAATTACTGGATACAACGGTCTGCTATACTTGAATAATTATATGATACAACAGCCTGCCATACTTGAACAACTGCCAGATACAACCGCCTGCTATACTTCAATAATTATTGGATATAACAGCCTGCCATACTTGAACAACTGCCAGATACAACCGCCTGCTATACTTCAATAATTATTGGATATAACAGCCTGCCATACTTCAACAAGTATTGGATACAACAGCCTGCTATACTTCAATAATTATTGGATATAACAGCCTGCCATAGTTC